AAGACAGAGGAATGTTAGTCAACCCGAAAAGGATCCAGAGGAAGCATCCTTTCTCCAGCCAACTCCAGCTTTGCCCACCTATCGAGTCAGCAGTGGGGCCAGGTGTCCACCTGAATCCTACCGCCGATTCTTCGTTGTGCCAAAACAGAAGAGCGAGGTCATAGCATGCAAATATTTTCAGAAAGAATGCCACAAAGGGAGGAACACCTTCTTATTCCTCAATCCAAGGTGAGAGCCAATGAATAGATACACTTAGGGCACCTTTTTCCACCCCTTCTTTGAACAGGTTTAGGTGAAAGTATGTAATTCCCCACCCCCTCAGTCCAATTTCAGTTCACAGCAATCTTGCAAGGAACCTTTAGCTGGAACGCTAGGATGCCAACAGTTCACCCCTAGTGAGCTTCAGGGCTGTGAAACCGATGGCCTCTTTCTGGATCAAAAGCCCAAAACTCTTGTCCCAATCAATTAGTTTCATCACATTCATGTTCTGAGGACTCCAGAAGAACCTCTCAGGCCCTTCCAGGAAAGATCTTTCTCCTAAACGCAGTGTGGCGTTAGGGTTAGACTCCAGCTCAGGAGATCTGAGTTCAAAATCCCCATCAGGCCATGAAATTCAGTGAGCTTTGGCTGGGCGCCGTGGCTCAGCCTGAGCTATTCCCACAGGGCTGTCATGAGGGGGGGAAAATAGGGGCAGAAGAACTATGTAGGGCCCCTGGAGCTCACTGGAGGAAAGGCAGGCAAGAAATGCAACAAATAATCAGTAAATATAACGCTGTGTGTAAGTTCTGTGCCATCAAGTCAGACCTGACGTACAGCGACCCTATTTTGGCTTTCAAGGTAAGTGGGCTATTTAAGGAGTGGTTTTACGGGTTCCACTCTGCCAGTCAGCTTCCATGGCTGAGTGGGCATTCAAACCCTGCTCTCCAGAGCAGAGATGGGCACCAACTGCTAATTCGGTGGTTTGTTTATAGGCCAAAGAGGGATTTGGTGTTTCAAAGCCCCGCCTCCTCGACTGTCCACTCAGAGGCAGCGGCCTGGCTTCCTTGCCCCGCCTCCTTCAGATGCTGCCTCTGAGTGGGTGCCCACTGGAGGAGGCGGGGCTTTGAAGCACCGAACACCGGTTCAGCCAATAAACAAACAGCACGAACCACGAGTTCGGTGGTTCGTGCCCATTTCTACTGCAGAGGCCCAGTCCATCACTCTCCCTGCTACACACGGGAATCCCAGTCAACAGAACCCTAACTTGGCCCAAGGCTGAAAATGAAGAGTGAGATAGGACTCCAATTCTTCTCTTTCCCTTTCTTCAACCCCTATCCAAGCCTCCAGGAGCCTCTCCCTTACCAGGAAATTGTTCTTGCAGTGGCCGCAGTTGACACGCACTCCGACTGGCTGGGGTTCAGGACTCAGAGGCCCCGGGTGCACGGGGCCCAAGTTAATTACCCTTTTGCTGGGAAAGAAAAGGAGAAAACAATGGCAAAAGGGATTAAATGACTCTCCCTGTTCAGTACTAAAATTTGAGGGTTCATAGATCTGTCTCTTCTCAAAATGCTATGACTCCTAGCATTCGAACCCCACCTTTTTTGGCCAATGCAGCACACACACAACGCCTATTACGCAAGAAACCCTTTCATTTCCAAATGACCCGTTTTGGCTTACTTACTACCTTCTCCATTCATAAACACCCTGCCCTTCACTCCCTAAGAGAATTGTTTCCTTCTGACCAATGCTGCACGGCTGTTTCCCTACCTCTTTCTAAAAAAAAAAAAAAAATCCTCTCTTCTGCTTTGGCATTTCCCAGACTCACCCATGAACTGGCTCAACTGTAACCATAACCACACTGCCCAGGAAACTACACTTCAAACTTGGGGATCCTCGCTGCACCCCATTCCAAGGCTCTTTCATTTAAAATCTGTAGCCAGGGTGGGTAAAAAAAACAATGATCTGCTTTAATTAATCAAACTGATTTAAATCATAATTACAGTTTTAATTATTATTTTTTTAATCCATTGGAATTTAAATTTGACTTGGGTGGTGCTACAGACAGGGTGGAAGTTATTGAAATCAATTTGATTTAAATCAAATCCACCCTGTAAACAGCACCACCATGTTTCTAGCACACAAATTTGCTAATTAAGGCTAGAGATGGATGAATTGGTGGTTGGGCGATTTATGCCAGTTTGTTGACTGGCTAAACAGGGGATCAGCAGTTTCCAGTCCAGGCTCTTCCAGTAGGCACCCACTCGGAGCCAGTGTCTTTCCCTTTGGCTGATAAACGAACCGGCACAAACTACTGGTTTGGCAGCTCATACACATCTCTAATTAAGGCCTAGCCAAGTTATGGAGATGAGGTTTTGACTATGGCTTATAAGGTTATTAAAATAAGACATCTTGGTTTTTCCCTTTATCATTAAAAACCCGCAAGTTAAGAGCGAAGGCCAGACAAAATGTAGTCAATAGCAGAACTTCCCTCTGCTTCTAAAGTATAAAGGAACAATGAAAGTGTCAAGGAAGAAAACTCCATGGAGTGGAAGGTACCTCAAAGAAAACTCTTGATACAGACAGCAATAGAACATCTGAAGGTTGAGTGCCTGGAGCATCACCAGAACAGATTTGGCCAGAAGAGGTTCATACAGATGCTGTTCAACCACTTTGCTTTCCTCTCACCCTAGCTACAAATACAGTAGTACCACAGTATCTGCACTAGATTAGTTCCAAGCCTCTCCACCCTGTGGATGCTGAAAAAAACGTGAAGATAACAAAAGCTATATATAGCATTGTCTCTGGCACCCTCTAATTAGGTAATTCTGGTTAATACACTGTGTAAATATGTATTTTTGTGTTTTAATATTTTCAGGCAGCAGATAAGTGAATCCGTGGATGCTAACTCAATGGATAGGGTTTCTACTGTACTTATAACTTCCTGTCCCAGAAATAAGCTTTCTTTCAAGCAAAAGCTTACACGACACATCTGGTCACTTTCGGCAGAATATCCTTCTATTGACACCCAAAACATACCCAGGTTTTGCATAACAGATAGTTTATTACAATCCTTCTCTGGGTTCTAGAGATCACGGCACTCCAAAACGCTCTGACAAATGTATTTCAACCACAACACAGCCAGAGGTGTCTCTGTTAGAGAATCTCACCACCCTCTTCCCTTACCAGTACGTCCGAGGACAAGCAATGCGTTGTGATGTCACCTTGCAGATTAAGAGGCAGTTGCAGGGGCATCTCACGTACTTTTTACCTGGCGGAGCATTTTTGATTGGCTGGAGCAGAGAAAAAGAAAAAGAATGCAGTCTTTAAAAGCCAAAAGTCCAAAACACATCTCTTGCTTTAGGAGAAAAGCAAGAAGAAAAAACACAACAGATCCAACGACCACCAGAAGGCTAAGGTTACAGAACTGGCTCTTTTAGCTGCTGTGGTGCCACAGAACGTTCACAAACATTTCAACTGCTCAAGAGTGAACTGCAGTTTTTATAAACAGCGCAATTTCTGCAAAATAAATTATTCGTTTGGCTGTAAAAAATCCTGCAGGCCCTGGCATAAATGCTGGCCTTGAGAGGAAAAGCAGAAAGAAAGCACAAAGGCAGTGATGACTAATACACTGAGGGGAGAAGACGTACACAAAACCTAAAATGCTTAAGAGAAAAGAACGGAGCATTTGTTGCAGAAGTGAGTGGCCTGTGACCTACGCAGTCATAAGAGCAAAATTAAGCAGATGGTGAAGAACTTTCCATGCTAATCTTAGAATATTCTGACAAAGATGTGTTCTTTATGTCAAAAAGCACTGCATGCTAATCTTAGAATATTCTGACAAATGTCACAGTTCTTTTGAAAGATGTGTTCTTTATGTCAAAAAGCACTACTATGCAGAAGTACGTCGTTCAGGTATCTCACACTCTTCTACTGTTAAAGTCTAGAATCAATCACCAATTCTACCAAAACTACCTCACCAATTTATCCTAAACATAAAACTGAAACAATCTGTGAGTCACGGTGTGTTCCAACACATAACACCAACCAATCCTATCAATTTTACATGAGGAAAACTAAAATTTAAAATGTACTTTGACAGTTGGAATAATCACAAGGACTAAAGTAGAAAGAAATCCGGCACACAGGTTTATCATTTAGACACATAATCTGGCCTTAAAATTCAGAACATAGAACTTTTCATTTTCTATCACTAAAGAGTCAAGGTGCAGTTCTGAAGAGTTCATTATGTCAAACTACAGATTAGAGTCACAGCACTAAATGCTCCCTCCTAGAGGAAAATAAACATATATTTCTCTCTGATGAGGTTGTTTACCATAAATAAGGCTTTTTGAATACTTAATTTTATTCAGTAGAAAGTAGTTTTCTGACATGATCTCACCCAAAAGCTTTAGTTGGTTCATTGGCTTAGAGCAGTGGTTCCCAACTGTGGGTCCCCAGATGTTCTTACACTACAACCCCCAGCAATCCTGGCCAGCACAGCTAGTGGCGAAGGCTTCTGAGAGTTTTAGTTCAAGAACATCTGGATTAACCAAGGTTGGGAAGCAATATAGACAGTTACTTTTCCCAAACGGGTGTCCTTCAAGACTTTTGGACTACAATGCCCTTAATGCTCAGCAGTGACCACATGGGTTGGGCTACAAGACCCACGTTCCTCAGGAAATATGGACAATGCTTGGGAACTATGATGGCTACAGTCCAAAACACCTATAGGGCATCACATTTGAATAGGCTGGTCTGAGGCACAAATTTTCCTTGGGTGTCAAGGGGTCCTGGGTTCAAGCTCCAGCCAAGGCCAATATTGGGGGAAGGGCGAGAGGTCCGTTGTAAAACACACTCTTTGCACTGAGAAAGTTAAGAACTCCATCCATGACCCTCTAAATTAAGAAGGATCAGCTAGCAAGTGATGGGAGATCCTGCAGAGGCACTGTGGCTCAAGAAAAGGCAACCCTGATGAACCCAGCCTCACCTAGTCATAAAGGTGGGAGCCTTCTACACTGCCTTGTGGGGCACATCGCAGAAACTGCATGGCCACGTCATGCGATATGCGTGACAAGACCGTATTTTGGGGCAAGGAAATATAAAACACTATACAGAAGGGATGCAAGTTTTGCTCAGAAGGCTTCCAATATCCAACACATCAGACAGCTGCAAGGGGAAAAGACCGACTGCCAGAAAGAAGAACATTGAGAGGAAGGAAGATTGACCATTGCTTTCATTTTCTTTGTAACTCGGTAAGGTAGATTATGCTGCTGACAGCAGGGAGGGGCAGAAAGGAGGAGAGCAGCTATCAAGCCTCCCGGAATCCCTAGCAAAGAAAAGGCATGACCCCACAGCCAAACTCCTGGAGTCTTCTCCCTTTCAATCCACGCCTTTGTGTGTTTTCGACGACCATAAATGACGTTTTACTTTCTGTAGGAGAGACTGAGCTGAATGCTGCCAGGCAGGTTTCTCCAGAAGGTTTTTTTTTTAATGAGACCGATTTAATTTCAGACACTCCATTCTGGAAAGCAAATGAAACAGCATAGATAGGCGAGCCTCCCAGATCTGATTTCAAATTCTGAATGTTGTCTAGCAGCTGCCCACTATTTAAGCACATTCACTAAGAAACCACAGTCACTTCAGGGCGATGGTCCCAGTTTTAAGCCATGTTTCTTTAGGATTTTGTATACCAGACGGAACACTATCATCCACATTTCTGTGTTTCTCAAGGTACAAGGAAAATCCAAAATAAAGCCATGCAGACTAGCAGACTGGAATATGAAGCAAAAAATAGTCTGTCTCCAGGGATGTCCCAAATTTAACAGCAATACTTTGCATGCCGAGATTGCCTTCAAAATGGGCTACATTCATCATCCCAATATTCCAAACACCTTGCTGCCCTCCAGATGTTTTTAATGCTAAAATTCACCCATGCTGACCATAAAAGCCAAGACAGATGCAGGACTAGCGCTGCCAGTGCTATCTGTCACACCCAGGAGCTGATTTTTTTTTAAATTTACTAGTTTCACTAGTGATTCTGTTCTTCCAAGGCCTGTCCTCTGACTTTCTGGCACAGTTAAAATGGAACAACCTCCCCGGGGCCCAAATTTGGGTTTTCAGTTAACAGGAGTAGATAAAACATACGGAAGTAGAAGAAAAGGAGCTTGCAGAGCTAAAAATTTATTGAACTAAAAGGGTGGGGGAAAAGACAAGGGCCGTCCCTATGGATCAAAGGTAGAGTCCAGCATATATGGAGGGCAACTCATTGCAAAGTGCTTGTCTTAAATAACCTTTTAAGTCAGAACAGCCTCTTTCACCCCCAACAGAAGTGGGAAACGACAAGCACATTACTTAAACCCCAAGGCAGCAGCTAGCCCTGTCCCCAGGCTGTGAGTCATGAAAGGAAAGCTGAAGACAGGAATAAAAGATGCAGACCATCTAACAGTGCAAAAAATATGGGCAGAGAAACGTTCACCAGTCATGTGATCTGGACTGCCATTAGCCCCAATCTCTTACAATGGGTCGTGCTGGGCAGCATGGATGAGAGGCCAAAATGTCTAGGTCAGTGGTTTCCAACCTCGGGTCCCCAGATGTTCTTGGAGTAAAACTCCTAGAAGCCTTTGGATTTCTGGAATCTGTAGTCCAGGAACATCTGGGGGCCCAAGGTTTGGAACCGTTGATCTAGGACAGTTGCAAACACAGAAAGCTATGGAGCGGATTGTTGTGAACAAAGAGCCAATCTAATATTTCAGCCCTTACAAGAAAGCCACCGTCTCTTTCTGTAGTTTGAACTATTAGCACTAATGTATTGGTTGCACAATTCTACTTAATTTGAAAATAAAAATTAAAAACCTTCTCATTCTCATCTCTTGTCGAGATTAACACATAACACTTTGCATTTCCCGGAAGGTGAGTGAAACTAATCTTGCAGTTCCTCACCTTTGCATACAGGGATAAGGGAAACAAGAATTTGCATCCATAGCTTCAAGTTGCTATTTTAATATACAGTGCCATGTTTTTCCATCTATAAGACGCCCCATATATAAGATCCCCCCCCCCCACTTTTCTAACCCTAAATTAAGAAAAATTAGCTTTGAGC